TCCATTCTTTCATACTCAAACAAATGCAAGGCTATATTGACAAAATAAATAAAACGACAAAATAGGAAAATTTCGCTTACCTGTCTTTCTACCGCGCCATCCAGAGCTGTTGCAAAATAGTTGCATGTCCGTAAACAAATGATTCACTTCTTTCTAATAATTTCCTCTTATTTTTTTTCTTTTTGTTGCGTTCAATAGTTTTACAATATCGCGTTGAAACAATCGCAAGAATGCTGTCTTTTTAAAAACGATATCATTTTGTACATACATATGTATAATAAAGAGATACCATTCGCGAAAACGCATACGAACACCACAGCGCACGAGCGATCAAAGGGACGATCGTCAAAACAGCGCGTATCCTTGCTCGGCGAGAAGCAGGTTTCACTACATCGTTATTACTATTCTGACGGCCGTTTCCGAGAAACTGCTCTTCCAGAGTTCCTGCTAGAATGGTTTTTACCGTTCTCACATGACTAACAGGTTGGCCGTGAACGCCGTTCGAAACTTTCGTCGATACACTTTCCACTAAATATGCTATTCAACTGCTTTCTTTTAGAACGTAATAAAACAATTAAATGAACTAGAAAAGGATAAATAAACAAAGGAGAAAACAAAAACAACAATAATGATATTATCAAAAAACTTGTAATATATCCATATTTCTTCGTAACTTGAAAAACAAAATTGCAACTTTGCAACTTTCTATTGTTGGCTTTGTTGTTTCTTGTCCGTATTCGCCTTTAGGCTCAAAGGGTCGAACAGATATGTCCGATTTCCTAATAATTCCCGCGTAAACAAATTAGACAATTACTTTTTATGCTCTTTTCAATTATTTCTAAAATGATCTTAAAGAGTCTCGAAACTGTGTGTTAATACAAAATTTGGAGGAATGAACCATTAAAAAATTAAGGGAAAAATCGTGAAGAAAAAGGACGCGACATTCAACGCGATGTTACTTGCACGGCGTCTCGCACTCGACTGCGAGGTCGCTCGTTCAAACTGAAAACCGATTTAAAGCTGAAGCTTAGACTGCCGCCAAGCGGTATCTTGAACAGGACCGATTTTCTTTTTAGTTTTCATAATTATGCTGAAATTGCAATCATACTTTATATTATGGATAAAAATTGACAAGTAATTAAGTTTCTAAATGACAGTATAGTACAGGACAAAAGAAATTAACTACTTGATATATCAGCATCAATCATAAGAGGAATTTATGACTAATTTTTCGAAGATCAATATCGATTGCATGTAAAAACTTTCAGTACTTAAATGAAATAATAGAATCGATAAATCAATTTCGTAATCAGATTTGTTTTTTATGTTTCAAGATTGGTATAAACTAAGTATATATTATTTTAAGTATTTTTCTATATCAAAATAAAGATTTGTAATCGATGACACATACATTTTTTGATGCAATCGCAATTAACGATATCTCTTTATTTTATATCTATTAGAATTTTTTTTGAAAAATATTGACAAAGATTTTATCATTGTTATCCATCCGATCCATTGTTATACGTTTTGTAAATGTTTTAATTTACAAATACATAATTTAATTTAATTAAATATTTTATTTTTTCTAAAGATTTATATATTGTTTAAATTTTAAATTGTTTAAATATCTAAATTATCTAATTTAATTAATGCAATGATAGGCATTACTAATACTTCTTTTTTTCATCAGTTTTTAATGAAAAAAAAAAAAAATATATATATATATATATAGATGTATAGAAATATGAATATACCTGTAACTTTCATGTCATGTTCAAAAGGTCTGTATCCCTCTAACAGCCCCCTCGGCAGTCTATTGTTCATTATCTCTTTTTAAGCGTAGGGACCGATCTTATACATATATTTTTGAGGGGTTCAGAACTTCAAACTATAATAATATGAAATATATTGTTTGAAATACTTGGAATATATATTATTATATATATTATATTACATATATATATATATATTTTTTAAATATTC